GGTGGGTGGGGCTCGGCAGGGGGGGGCGGGGGGGGCCCCGGCTGACGGCGTCCCCGGCAGGGCCGGCCCCCGGGGAGGAGCTGCGGCTGACCTTCCCGGTGCGGGACGGCGTGGTGCTGGAGCCCTTCCGCCTGCAGCACAACCTGGCCGTCAGCAACCACGTCTTCCAGCTGCGCGACTCCGTCTACAAGACCCTGATGATGAGGTGGGGGCGGCGGGGGGCCGCGCGGCAGAGCACAGCACCGCACCGCGTCACGCCGCGCAGCGTCGTACGGTGCTGCTTGGCGTGGTGCTGGGTGGCACGGCGTGGTGCGGTGCTACGCAGCGTGGCTTGTTGCCGCCCTGCATGGTGTGGCAGTACGCGGCACGCCACGCCTTGGTACGGTGTCGTGTTGTGTCGTGGTACGCAGCACAGTTTGGCGTGGCAGTACGTGGCGTGGTTCAGCACGGCACGGTGCTGTGTGGTGCAGCGGTACCGGCACGCCTCGGCACAGCACGGTGCTGCGTGCGTGGTGGTACATGGCGCGGCTTGGCATGGCATGGCGCTGTATGGTGCGGTGGTACGTGGCGTGTCTTGGCATGGCACAGTGCTGTGCGGCGTGGTGGTACCCGGCATGGTTTGTCACGGTGCCGTACGGTGTGGTTGTACTTGGCGTGGTGGCTGGCGGGCGGGCACACCCCTGCCCGCACCCCTGCCCACATCCCTGCCCGCCCCGCCAGGCCCGACCTGGAGCTGCAGTTCAAGTGCTACCACCACGAGGACCGGCAGATGAACACCAACTGGCCGGCCTCCGTGCAGGTGAGCGTCAACGCCACGCCGCTCACCATCGAGCGCGGCGACAACAAGACCTCCCACAAGCCGCTCTACCTGAAGCACGTCTGCCAGCCCGGCCGGAACACCATCCAGATCACCGTCACCGCCTGCTGCTGCGTGAGTCACCGAGGGGGTCCGGTGAGCCACGGGGGGTGCCCGGGGGCGGGGGGGGGGGGCGGCGGCTGGGGCCGCAGCTCAGCGCCCCCGTCTCTCCGCAGTCCCACCTCTTCGTCCTGCAGCTGGTGCACCGGCCCTCGGTGCGCTCGGGGCTGCAGGGTCTCATCA